TCTTATCAATCAGAATAATTTGCACCCAGATTCATCTGCAAATTCAAAGTGACTCCTTAAGCCCAGAGATCTCTTCCTAACCCAAAGTAAGTTCTGTATTATTATCAGAGAACCAAGCGAAAGACCTACAATTGTCAGTTATCAGGGATCTAAGAGCCACAGAGTACTATGATAACTCAAAAGGTAACTATAATCGAAACATAAAAGGCATTATTATGGAGGTCAGGGGTAATAGAATATTTTAGGCAAATAAACAAATGGCTTTGGACTACCTTATATTCCAGCATACATTTTCAAAAGTATATATTCTCTGTACAGAAATATCTGCTATTGAACAGTAGTATAAAACAATACTTAGTACATTAGCGTGTTTAATCCACTGTTTAAAGCTTCCAGGAGACCAATGACACTTATTTTTTTTTAAACTAGCCACTTTTTTTTGAAACATAAATATTATAAAGTACATTACTCTTTCCTACACATATCCATTACAAGCACCCTTAAATAATTACATTTCTACTTGGCACAGGCTAGACGAGGGTCTTCAGACTCTATCTCATAACCGTAACCACCTTAGTAACAAAGAACTTGCTTCTTCTTCCATGAAAGCATAACACAACTGCAGTTATCCCATCAAATTGGGGAGAAGTCTACATATGCTGACATTAATTTCCTTAAATTTCAATCAAGAGTAAAGCAGGCGCATAAATAAGTACACAACACTCAGCATCAGTTATCAGTGGAAGTAGTGTCATAACTAGCAAAAGAAGAAGGAAAAGAAACCTGTTACCTGAGCGCTTGACCAAAAAGATGAACAACACAAGACAAACCCATAACACTTGCCTGTTTTTATCAAACTGATTGAAACCTGTGTGCTGCAATATTTGGGAGAGAACTGTCTGAGTTTATGGTTTTCCATGCCTGCCAAAAACAGATGCAGACTGCCACACTAGCTGTCCTGCGGAAACTAAATTAAGCAAAGGCAAATACCAAGTGGAAAGTTGTCAGTCTGTTGAATGAATAGCTTCGTTTTACACACCAGAGGATATCTTCATAAGAATATGTTTTAATGTGAGCCACTCATTTTATTTTAAGTGCATCACTTACTGCAAAAATAATAATTTCCCCTTTAAATCAATTATAGACACCTGCCTCCAACTTTCCAAAGCCTGTTTAGTTTCACCCACAGTAGCAACACAGTGGTATACTACATTGCTTGCTATCAAAAGCAGTACTGAAGTCAGAAAATAATAAATTTTAAAATGTATGTTACTATGAAAATGGTTAGAGGCCTGTTGTCAATATTTAGCCCAATTTCGCATTCAAATAGTTAGAATTCAAAACTAAAAATTAAAAAAACAACTGCTGCAAGTCTTTTTAAAACTTGCGGCCAGATTTATTAAAACAACGCCATTTAGCTTCTTAATACAAAATGCATATACACGTATACCCTTCTGATAATAACAATGGCAATAATAATAATAATAACAACAACAACAAAACATCACTGGGATACTAGGATCTTAAAAGCAGTTTCCCCACAGACGCACTCACTCTGCTCTTGTGGAGGTTTTCCTATGAATGGTGATTTCCTAGTTTGTCTGAGAGAGACCTACACTGTAGAAACTAGGGGGGGGGGGGAAGAACTCACAAGTAGTACAGAACTTAAATGAAAATGTAAAAACAATGCCGAAGATCCAGTAGGGACATATGGAAACTCGCTTGTAAACAGCACACTGATTTGATCTTGAACGGTTTTCTAACCAAGCACATAAAACGTTTCATAAAATCGCCTAAAATATTAAGCCGTCAAAAAAACTAAGCTGGAAATTCAACTCAGACTTCTTCTCAGTTACTAAGACAATTTCCTCCTTAATGTTACCTCTAAGGGACAAAGGACACAATCTAAACAGCACAGAACACTAACAGCACCTAACATCCAGAGGAGTGACACTGTGTGAAGCACTGGCGATATCTCACTATTTATTTGGAGACTGTCAGACTTAGTTATTATGTGTGTACAAGTATTCCACACACATACATCCTAACATCCAACAGATCTATCAGGAAGCCCTAAACATCTGCTCACTGAAGGTAAACCATCCTGAGCCAACAAAGCAAGGAGGGAGCTTCAGAACGCCTTCTATTTAGAGAAATCGAGTCAGAGGCTGGCAATACAACTCCACTTCCTCTTCAGAGGCTTTATTTTCACATTATTACTCTCCAGAAACAAGCATCGAACACTAGCATGTCCGTAACCCTGCCTACTTCACAAACTGGGTTTTTGTTGTTGTTTTTGTTAATTCAAGGGTATAGCTTTAAAAAGGAAGTTATGAAATCTAAGGAGAGATAAACCTTAACTTGTTAAGAGTCAGCCTGCCATTAATAAACTTTCACTTAAAGGTAGGAGAAAAAAAAATTCCTGAGAATGTTAGTATCATTTCCAGACTGTCCTGTCAGCATCAAACTTACAGGAAACACTTCATCTTCCCAAACAAACCCTGCATTTATTCACAACTCTGGCATATTTGAGGAAGGGGGGGGGTGAATAAGAGTCTGTAGGATTGTTTCAGATCTTCGGCTTTTTTTTTTTTTTACATGAACAAGTAGAAAAACTGAGAAAAATCTCCAAAAGAACAGCATGTAAGAAACTTCCCAACACTGAGCTCTGAAACTTTCATTCTCATTTTGTCCACGTCAAGGCTGGCTCTGTCTGCATTACTTTCCTTACTGTCCCTTACATTTTCAACTCCGGCACCCTATTCTAAATGACTAACTTTCCCCTAAAACCAACAGGAAAGAACCACCATATCTGCAAGATCCATAGGTTTTTGCTTCAGAACTGTATGACTCTGAAGGCCCTTATTTAATTTTTTTTTGCATTGAACAATCAAATTTTAGCCAACAAGCAGGCCTGGAATAATTATGTCTTTGTAACTTTGTCTCAGGCCTTATCTGCATTTTGCCTTGTACTTAGGATCACTCCCCGGCCTGTTCACCTGGTGGGTTTACAAAAGTTCAAGGATTCTACAAAAGTTCAATGAAGAGGCCTAACTGGTCTCCAGTTTAACTTCTCCGCTAAGATTCTCACTTCACTTACCTTGCTTACAAGTAAGTCTAGCCGTGATTTTTTTTCCCAAAGTAGGATAAGGATGACTATCCTGATCACAGTTTTGATTCATCATTATGAGCCATCATTCTTACTCAAAAAAAAAGAAAAGAAAAACTTTCACAAGTATCGATTCTGAGGCCCAAGAAGATATGGAGAAGTAAAGTAGGTCCTAAAATTTTAATAAGTCCAAGTCTGGGTCTGAAAGCCCACCAACTCCTTCTGGCCCTCTAACTTAAATTACTTTAGAGTCCCAGGGCCATAAAACAGTTACTGACTTCCCTGGGAGAGGGGAAACACCACCGTGTCAGACAGGTAGTAACAAAACAGCTTTCCCAGACACACACACACACACACACACACACACACACACACACAGCTTTTACACTTCAAACAGCTCCCACCTCTGCCTCACCCTCAAAATTACCCCTGGGGTCCTAGGAGCCCGGAGTTATTCGGAGGGGCAGCATAGTGTTTGGCCCTCTGCAAGATGCGTCTCAGACGCTAGAGCCCCAACAGGAACCAGACAGCAGCAGGCAGCGCGAGCCGTCCGCTGGCTGTCCCGCCGCTGTCAGGCATTTAATCACTGGCCACGGTGCCCTGACCCGCGGGGACACATGGCGCATCCACCGCACCGCAAAGGAAGTCTGGCCCCTCGCTCAGCCCCGACGGAAGTGCCCTGGCTACAAGGCCCTGCCACATGGCAAGGACAGGGGACAGACCCCCCCCCCTCTCCCTCCTCTGTGCCAGGCTGTCCCGAGAGGGGCTCGGAGGCCCGCCTGGAGGGCGGGCGGACGAGCCGATGGGAAACTCTCCTCCTCCAGCCCCAGCTGGGCCCTACACACAGAGAGAAATAAAAGTTTGCTGCCTGGCTTTGCAAACTTCTCCCAGAGCCTAAGCCAGTCGTGCGCCCGTTTCCACACACACACACACACACACACACACACACACACACACACACACACACTGGGAGAGGGCACACCAAAGCCCCTCTCGGAGGTCTGACCCTCCCTTCCCAAGTTCGCCCAACTTACTACTCAGCATGCCGGTGCCCGGTCTGCTCCCCGCGTGTCAGGAGCCGCCCCCCCCACACCCACCCTCTCTCTCCCCAGAAAACTTGCAGCAGGGCCGGCGGCGGCGGCCCCTCGGGTCCCACCACCTCCTCCTCCCCGCCGGCGCCCGGTAGGAGAGAATTAAAAATCAGCCCGAGCGAGCCGGCCGGGGGGGGGGGGGGGAGGGAAGTGGGGCGGCGAGAGGGGGGAGGGGGCACCAGCCTGAAACTTCTTTTTTTGGCAAATGGGGATTTGTTTTTCCTCCTCCCCGGCGGCTGAACTTGACCCTCCTGACTCCCGGGGCTACTGCAGTTTGAAGTCGCGGGGTTTCCAAGGCTCCGGTGCCGGAGACACCCTCCCCACCCCCCCTCCCCACCACCACCACCAAAAAAGGAGGGGATGGAAGGGGGGAAGGGGAGCAGAAGAGAAGAAAGAAATGAGGAAATCACACGCGCAAAAAGAAAAGCGAGAAAGAGAGAGAGAAAGAAAATGCATGTGAAACCCGAGAAGCCTGTGCTGGGCGCTCTCTCTCTCTCTCTCTCTCTCTCTCGGCTTTTGCTTTTTTTTCTTTCTCAAAGAAAGTCACTTTTAATTCCCAGGGCTCCCCGACTCACGATCGCCCACATTTTGCACACACACACACGCACACACACGCACACGCGCGCGCGCGCGCGCGGACGCAGCACTCGCGGCGCCCCCCGGGCCGGGACCGAAGAAGCCCGCGCGACCCCGGGCTCCCCCCCACACACACACCTCACCCCCGCCCCCAGCACACACCTCTTCCCAAGACCCCCGGGCCCAGCCCCCCGCCCCCCAGCCCGCCCGATCTCCCTCCTTACCTGTTGATTAATCGTCAAAAACACCCTCGGCAGCCCGAAAGATGGTGGCGCGGCGGCCAGAGCCATGAACCGTCTTCTGTTGTTTGCAGAGTTGATCTTGGATTATTGGGGGGCGGGGGGGAGAGAGAAAGATCTTTCCTGCCTCCCCCCCTTTCCCTGCCCTCCCCCTCCCCTGATAGGAAAAAGAGAGCGAGAGAGGGAAAGAGAGAAAGAGAAAGGAAATAGAGCGAGGATGTGCCCGGTGCCGGGTGGAAGAGGGGAGGGAAGGAGGGGGGGCGGTGTTGTTTTTTGTTTAAAAAAAAATAGGAAGGCGAGAGAGAGTGAGAGAGGACGGGAGGAGGGAGGGAGGGAGCGAGGGAGCGATCCGAGGGACTGCGGGGTCTGGAGGAAGCAGCAGCCGGTGGAGAGCAGGCTGCAGACGGCCGTGAGATCGGGTCTTTATCAGAAATGTTATCGCTTGTCAGGACCTCCGTCTCCGCGCATTACGTCAGTTTCAAGACACCAACACTATTAATATCAAAGGAGCCTTCGCGGAGGAAAGCGCCACCCCAGACCCAGCTCCCTTAAAGAGACAGCGCGCGTCCCTGCGCCG